CCCCCAAGGGTCGGCACTAAAATCTCTTCTATGGACCGCAGGACCCCCAACGTCATCAGCTGGAAAGAATGGCTCTGGCAGTCAGCATCGAAAAGCCACACATTGTTGTTATCCGCATGCTTCTGCGCAATGGGCCTGCGGGGCTTGGAAATATCGGAGCCCGCGCCCGACGCGAAGCAAACCTATGGCCAAGAAACGAGTCGCGGCAAGCCGCTGCCACCCTCCGCGCTAGCGCGCGCTTGCTGAGTGGCGACGCTGGTTTCCACCCCGCGTCGCCACTCGGACGGCGGCGCGCTAGCGCGATGGACGGCGGCGGGTTCCGTGGCGAGCGCGGCCCCCTAATCGCCGCACCGCCCGCTCAATGCCGCCCGAAATCCACGTCGACTCCCCCGTCCTCGTCGCCATCCTTGTCGTCGCCCCAGCCATCGCCATTAGCCGCCATCGTCCGTCGTCATCGGTATCATCTTCGTCCTCATCGCCCGCCTCCTCGTCGCCACCGTATTTTCTTCGTCGCCCTCGTCGTCGTCATCGCCGTCGTTCTCGTCATCCCCCTCGAGCCCAGCCCCAGAATGATCAGCAACTGGTCGGCGGCGGGCGGTTGCGGCCCGGACGCGGCGTGGGTTGTTGAAGGCGTTGGAGCGGGTGGATCGGCGTCGACCTGGATGTCTCCTATAGGGCCGATGAGGCTATGAAATGACGGGCCACCACCTTCGGGAAGAGGCCCACCCCCCAATTTGAAAACCTGATGCGCCCTTTCTCCCGGCGGCAGGTGCGGAGTGGGGTGTGGGCGAGAGGGCGCTGACACACATTAAAACAAAAAAACTTTGCCAGTGCTCCTATCGGCAGCTTCTTGAGCACTTCGGGGCCAGGAACGGCGTCGACATCGGCAAGGGCGCGAATATGCTTGCCAAGTAGGCCCAGCATCCCCATGCCCGAGCCGTGTTTTGCTACTTGTAGTGGGCCCAAGAGTTTGCGTTCATCGAGTTGGTGGTCCTCGGGCGCGGCTAAACTCGCCGCCCGAAATGGCCCCCCGACCCCAGCCCTGGGATTGAGGGGCAGCCCAGCGCCGAAGGCATCGTTTCGAGCCGAACCCAGACTGATCGCGACGAGGGATCCACGGCCGAGAAAAAAACAATGCCTTATGACCTTACCTACTGGTCCTTGATGTCCGCGCTACTTTCATCGAATATCTGCCCATGGGTAAATGCCGCCGATAATTCTACAACGTTCAATTTCTGCTTCTGCCAGATAGCCGTGTTCGCGGCGCCCGCTCTCACGCGGATCAGCGCCACGCGTAGTCCGCCGCGGACGGCGGAGTCATGTTGACGAGCAAAGTTTGACTTGAACCAATACCGATATGATGCCAACATCGCTGCTCGAAGTCGGATCTCCCACTTCCTGACCGTCCTCCCCGACAAATCCATGCCTAGCATCAACCCCACTCCGACCGACCCCGAACTGCTCAAACAACGCCTCGCCGCGATGGTCAGGCCACCGCGGTCGGACAGATGCCGACGTTTTTCCCCCACTTCTACTCATGGTCTTTCGATTTCTTGTCCAATGCTTTTCTCTCGGCCCTTTCTTTTGCCACTTGCTTCCGAAGGCGTATATTCTGTACTACATAGGTTTTGTTTCTCCACTTGGCGTGCTCCAGCCGCTTAGTCAAAGATGCCTGGACGGACAAGGCCTCATCGAGCCGCTTCCGCAACTCTCCCACGGGGACCGCAGAAGCTGGAACGACCTGGCCCGATGCTGCCGACGAGGCACCACCTGCTGCAACAATCTGGCCCGATGCTGCCGACGATGCACCACTTGCTGAACCGATCTGGCCCGATGCGGCCGACGATGCACCATCTGCTGAAACAAGCTGGCCCGATGCGGCCGATGCACCATCTGCTGAAACAAGCTGGCCCGATGCGGCCTACGAGGCACCACTTGCTGAAACACTCTGGCCCGATGCGGCCAATGCACCACCGGCTGAAACAAGTGGGCCCGATGCGGCCGATGCACCACCTGCTGAAACAACTGGCCCCGATGCAGCCGATGTACCACCTGCTGAAACAATATCGCCCGATGCGGCCGACGATGCACCACCTGCTGAAACCAGCTGGGCGCCTCTAAGAGGCGGGGTGGATGGGGCAGCAGCGGGCGCAGCAGCGATGAGCTCGGCCCTCAGCGACTCCAGCTCCGACGGCGAAATGAGCACCCGTTTTGCCCGTACCCACTCGCCGACGGCATCAAAGGCCACTAGACTAGACCCTCTGCGGCACCTGCTGGCAATATCATCGACACGACGTTTGGAAACCTTAGTACCTGCAGGGCCAAGTGCGAGAGACAACTTGTCAAACACATTGCTGTGGCAGAGCAACTCACCCCCCCTGCCGGAAACGCATTCTGAGAGACACCTCTTGAGGCGTGCTTTAATCATGTCCTGATCGGTCTATGCCAAAACAGCTGCGGAGGGCACTGCAAGACACGCCCAGATGCGCATATGCAAGATACGGGCATAACAGAAATAGTTAAGTTATTGAAATACCCATCACATTGCTTGCACGAAAGAAACCCTGGGGCATGTCACTATTGGGCGTGAACTTGAAAACGCACGTTTGGTGAACATCCGAAAACCTCGTCTCGTCACTTCCACGATCCACCCCCGAACGAAAAAGCGGGAGAGCGAGGGGCGAGCGGGATGAATTTAAGGGCCAAGAGGATACGATGAGGGAGCAAGGGGGCGCCGAACATGAAGATTCGAATGCTGAAAATGAAGAAGATATGAAGAAGAGAAGGATCTCGAGGATGGAGAAGGAGGTTTGTTGAGGTCTGCTGTTAAGGAACATGCTTCGCATAATCATCGCGGGAGTTCCACCCTCACAGGACACCCCCTGAGGCTGTGCACGGTCTGGCAGCGTGCCTGGGGCCGGGCCTGGGATGTGCCTGGGGACGGTCGGACGTGCGCGGAGACGTGTCAGGACATTTGCCTGGGGATGTGTCTGGAGGTGTGTCAAGGGACGTCCCTGACGACGTGATCCGGGGCGTCTGTCGGGACTCGCCCGGGGCTGCGAAAAGGGACGTGCCTGGAGGCCTGTTGCCAGCCATTCCTCGAGCGGGCACGCATGGGATGAGATGCGCCTGGAACGGTGTTGGGCCGCACTATGTTTGGGCCTGAGACATCCCATCCTCAAGCCAACAAGCACGGGATGCATCTGGGACGGTCCAATCACGCACCCTTGAGTGGACCGTGGAACTGGGACGCACCATCCTCGAGCGAGCACGCATGGAACATTACCCGTTCGACCAAATTCCCCTGGCTGTTTACCAATCCGCCTGCGCCGGTTCTCAACGGCATTTCGACAATTATCGCCGGTCGCTAGTGGGAACTGCAAGTGTTTGGCCGTCTTCTGGGAAATAAAAAACCTGGACAATCCGCCGGCCCCCTTGTGGGGCCACCAGGCTGTAGGCCCGTGATTCGCAGTTTCCTGTACCAGTTGTAGCTTGTAGTTTCCAGTGTTACAGTTGTGCTTCTTGCTGGTTACTGTAACTAGTTGATTGACCGCGCGAGGGGGGGGGGGGAGGCCCAAACAGGATTTTTTAGCGTCCCCTGGGCGCGTTGTCTGAATTGCTGGGGGGGCTCGAAATCGACACCCCTCACGCAGATCCGCGGGGTCAGGGTCCAAAAACACAGGGGATTTGCCACATTTCTGAAATTCGGTGCCACCCCTCACGCAGATCCGCGGGGTCAGGGTCCAAAAACACAGGGATTTGCCACATTTCTGAAATTCGGTGCCACCCCTCACGCAGATCCGCGGGGTCAGGGTCCAAAAACACAGGGGATTTGCCACATTTCTGAAATTCGGTGCCACCCCTCACGCAGATCCGCGGGGTCAGGGTCCAAAAACACATGGGATTTGCCACATTTCTGAAATTCGGTGCCACCCCTCACGCAGATCCGCGGGGTCAGGGTCCAAAAACACATGGGATTTGCCACATTTCTGAAATTCGGTGCCACCCCTCACGCAGATCCGCGGGGTCAGGGTCCAAAAACACAGGGGATTTGCCACATTTCTGAAATTCGGTGCCACCCCTCACGCAGATCCGCGGGGTCAGGGTCCAAAAACACAGGGGATTTGCCACATTTCTGAAATTCGGTGCCACCCCTCACGCAGATCCGCGGGGTCAGGGTCCAAAAACATAGGGGATTTGCCACATTTCTGAAATTCGGTGCCACCCCTCACGCAGATCCGCGGGGTCAGGGTCCAAAAACACATGGAATTTGCCACATTTCTGAAATTCGGTGCCACCCTTCACGCACATCCATCGCAAGGCGTGGTAACCCAAACTGCGAGAACTCCCTCGGCCCTTTAATCGCAAGGTATGGTAACCAAGCCCGTAAACCATACACGTCTTACCAATCGCAGGTGTGGTAACCCCTCTTGTGATCAGTTGGTTTTGCTGATTGCGAATCGGCTTCGCATGAAGTTTCGATACTGCTTCACGACAGCGCCAAGGCCTCATGACTTAGCTCTTCCATGGCCCATTCTCCGAGAGAGGGGGGGCCGGCGGCAGGGGGCGAAGCCCTTACGGATAAATTTAAGACACTAATTGACCACCGAACGGAACGTGGATGCAGGGGTCAGAGCCGGATCGAAGCTAGATCTGGCCGACGGGGCTAGGTAACCGCTCCGGGAAAGGATTCTGCGGGGAGGGTCTCTAACCCTCCACCCTCTACAGGACTCCTACAGTGCACGCTGCCTGCTACAGAGCTGCGCAAGGCAAGGCTCTGGGGCTGCATCCTCGCCGTCAGGACCCCATGAAACAGCGGGGAACCAAACACACCAGGAAAGCCAAACGCGCAAGCCTGCGTTGGGCAAAAACATGCATGGTGTGTCATACGCACGCATATTGGCCAGCACGAGTTACTTACAATCATGCGTCATCCGAAATAATCACAATTATAAACACCCATTCGGGATCGCAGCCGAATTCAATGCAAATTGAAACAATCAATGATCCACCACCTTGCCGCAGGCACTGAGTGGAGCGTGATCAGGCCCACAAGAATACACAGTCCTCAATCTTTGACATTCCAAGACGTGCTGTATAAGGGACAACGACCGCCGCCAAGTCTCGGATGCTGACGACTTCCTTGAGCGCCACGCAGGACTTTCCCAGGGGACCAACATCATGGTACAATATTGTCACATGGACAGTCCTTGAGCCCTCTTGGGCGCCGCATCTTGGGTCATCTTGGGGGTCCTGGAAGCTCAAAAGCCAATGTCGTCCGAATCCCTCTGAAATTTCGAATGGTGTTCGCGTTAGGGCCTTCGTGGTCTGACGGCCCAAGGGGCCCAAATGCCGCCCCGAGACGGCCCAAGAGGCCACCAAGACGGCTTGTAAGGGGACCACGAAGTGACGTGTCGAGCTCTCATCTCCTCCTGGATGGCCCCAGGATGCCCTGGAGCCGAGGAGGAGAAGGAGAAGGAGGAGCAGGAGGAGGAGGAGGAGGAGGAGGAGGAGGAGGGGAATGGGAATGGGTCATGGGCGGGAAGTCCGCCTGCCGCCGCGGCAGCAGAGGGAGGAGAGAGGAGGAGGAGTAGAGGAGGAGGAGGAGGAGGAGGCGGAGGAGGAGGAGGAGGAGGAGGGAGAAGGTGGAGGAGGAGCCACGCGAGCGTGCAGACCTCTCTTCCGAGATCCTGCTCGGAATCCAGGCCGCGAGGGCGCGAGCACGGACAGCTCGCCGTTCGTGAAAGCACTTTTGGGGGGCTGGTTTGGGGCCTCTTTCGGGGCGTGCTGCAGGATTCTCTTCCTCCTCCTCCTCCTCCTCCTCCTCCTCCTCCTCCTCCTCCTCCTCCTCCTCCCCCTGGGGTGGCGCGAAGGCGCGGCCGCACGGAGACTTCCGCTCGGGGCATTCGCGAAAAAACGCCCCGTATCCGCGGGCTCGTGGCCCAGAGGTCCAGCGTGCACGGTGAGGGCATTGGATGAGGAACCATTGGACAAATAATCCAGGGTCTGGAGGCTAGGTGGAACTCAAACCGCGGAACGAATGGCCACGGACATCACCGCCGCCCTCATCAGTTGAGGAATCCTTCCTGAACCAACGACCCCACCCGACATGCTCTTCGCCCACGATGTGCAGTAAATTTCAAGCTGCTACGATTAAGTCGGGTACGTCCCTCTACAGGCGGATTTTGGACGAAAAATGAAAAATAACAAAACAATGCCCCAAAATGATCGAAACTAACCGGAAAATCGTCCCCTGACTATTTATTTTGAATTTTACTCCTGTAGAGGGACGGGCCCGACTTAATGCCACGACTCGCCGCCTCCGCACTGCCGTCGCCGCCGAGCCACAGCCGCTGCCAGATGCCACGCAGGGCTGCCATCGTTGGCCCGAGGGCGACCGCGGCCGGCGCAGCACGGGCTTTGCAGGGCGGGGAAGCCGGAGCATCGCGGGGTGCAGAACAGCATCTGGTCGGAGAGACAGGTGCCCGAAGGGGTGCCCGAACGGGGTTGCTTCTTCCCCGGGCGTGCGCTTGCAACTCCGAAGGGTTAGCCTCTGGGATGGACACCAGGAATGGACACCGGGGATGAACACTGGGGATGGACACTGGGGATGGACACCGGGGATGGACACTGGGGATGGACACTGGGGATGGACACCAGGGATGGACACTGGGGATGCACACTGGGGACGGACACTTGGGATGGACACTGAGATGGACACTGGGGATGGGCACCCCTCTCTCTTATCGGCAACTGCGGGAGACTACGTATGTCTAAGTGGTCCATCATATTGCCCGACCAGAAGAAGTGCCTGGGTAAGTGGGCCCGACATCAATGGTGAGGAGTCGACGCAACTACACTGGGCCGATTCGTCACGAGGCTCCCAGGAAGCCCCCAAGAGGCCCCAACAGACCTGCATGAGGCATCCTCAGATAACTGAATATGCGTGAAAGAGGCCTCTAGCCCACAACCCAGTCATGGTTTGGCGGGATGGGCCGAAGGCGACTATATCCGCCGCCCCCTGCGGCTTGCCACAGTGATGCACGGCGTGCTGAACCTCTGAATGATTTGTGGCTCTTTTGAAAAATTCCCAGCGGGTTCTCCGTCTATCCCGCCGGCCAACTGAACGCTGGGGGAAAACCGAAAAACTCGCCTCCCATGCCGCCAAGATGGCTCAAGACAGAATATCTTAGACGTCTCCAAAAACGCTAAGATGGTCCCTGGAGGGCCCAAGATGACCCCATGATCTCTCCAAGACGGGCCAAGATGCACCCAGGACGGCCCAAGTTGACCCAAATCTGGCCCAAGAAACCCCCAAAAGGGTTCCAAGACGGCCCAAAGCATTGTGGTATTTGCTCCTTTCCGGTCATCCGACCTCCAAGACTGCCCAGAAGACCCCCAACACGCCCAAGATGACCTCCAAGACGGCCCTGAGGCGCCACAGATCGACCCCAAGAGGCCCCAAAGATGGCTTCCGACGGCGCTTGACTGGCCAGGAGACGAGCGGTGGTTACACAACGCCCGCACCCAAGAGGCCCAACGAAACCTCCAAGAGGCGCCGGGGAGGCGCCCGGGAGGCCCCAAGTGCCCCAGAAGCTCCCCAAAGGCCTCTTCCTCCTCCTCCTCCTCCTCCTCCTCCTTTTTGTCCTGCCGGTCGTCCTCTTGCACTTCTGTCCCCAAGTGTTCCCCGAAGGGTTCCCACAACGGCTGGGGCAGCACACGCTCCGATATCGTGGCCAATTTCTGGCCACAGGGTTCGGCCGCATATGCGCGTCCAGAAGGCAGGGGGCGGAAGTGGTTCGCCGTAGGCGTCTTGAATCAATCGCCCGAGGTTGTCTGTGAAAGGGGTTGGCGTGCAGAAATTTAACCGTTTGATCCCTTGCAAAACGTTCCTAATGGCACGACCCCAGAAACCATTGATATCAGTATGTGTATATCCATTTGTACACGCATATGTGAATATCAGGGAGAGAGAGAGAGAGAGAGAGAGAGAGAAAGAGAGAAAGAGAGAGAGAGAGAGAGAGAAAGAAAGAAAGAGAGAGAGAGAGAGAGCGTGATCCACCGCCACTTTACAATGGAAAATTCTCCCCCCCCCTCCTCCTCCGGAGCCCGCCCCCCTCCCCCCCCTCCGAAAATCCCCCCCCCCCCCCCCCCCCTCCCCACCTCTTCACCCGGCAAAGCTCCCCCCCTCCCCATAACCCCCTCCCCCCCTCCCCTCCAGAAAACCGCGGTGGGGTCACTGCTGGTTCGAACACCCCCCCCTCTCTCGGAAAACCGGGGGGGGGGGGTCACTACCTGAAGGCCCTCGGCCTTACTAATTGTGAGCAGCAGTTGTAAGTAGGTTATAAGTAAGTTGCAACTAGGTTGCAAGTATGTTATAACCATTCGTAATGTTACTAAGTCGGCTAACTCGGGCGGTGCATTTGGAGGTAGATAGCTTGAGTTAACGAAGTTACTAACTTCGCTAACTTTTACATGCTTACTTGAAAACAGAGTTGCTGCATCGGGTTGCCCTTGGATGTTGCCTCCAGAACCGCATGCATGTGTTTGGATTTTCGGGATCACGCATATCGGAAATCATGATCCAGACTTGCGTGCGAACGCATTCAGAATATTGTATCGAGCGTTACAAGAATGTTGTGCATTGCAAATGCAACATATCATTTCGAATTCGCAACCCTCTGTTGCATATGTTTTCGAATGTCACTAGAGTTTGGGCTCGAGCCGTTTGGGCGAGGATTGCTGCTGGCGCTTGTGGCGTCCTCCTGCACGCGGCGTGATGAACGCCTCCCGTGAAAAGCAGATCGCGGAGGTCCGCCCCAAGATGATGGCCATCAAGGACATGTACTTGCATCATGATGCAGCGGTGGTCTCATTACTTGAAGACGTACGCAGCATTGCAAGAGGCATAGACTGCCTGAGGGTAGAAAAAAATACACTCGAAGTATATGATGGTGCGCACAGAGAACCGCTTCGGAGATGGGATCATTCCGAGCGAGGTTATGGACTTGATTCCCAAGATCTTCAAACATGGATTCAAGAACTCAGCCCTCCAGAATCCAGCTTGCATGGAACTTCCACCAGTGGGCGCGCCTGAGTACCATACAATCAAGAACTTCAATTTCAAAATAATGGAGGACTCAGCGGGCCAGCTGCCGCAGTATGATTGCGATGCAAAGTTCGCATCCTATACGTGCGGCCACACATCCATGGGTTTGCGTTGCATCATCGCAGGGGTTCCAGCACCCACGGTCATGCCAGAGCGTTTCGACAGAATCTCGCACCGAGGGAAATTGTCACTGACGAGGTTACGGGAGGCTCAACCAGACTACGCTAAGGCGTGTGACGAAGGAATTGAGTGGAAGGTCTTTCGGTGCGAGTTCGTGAAGGAGTTCCAGTGGATTAGTAATCTTGCTCAGGAGGCTGGCAATGCAGGCCAACAAATTGCCAGATGCGGATCTCGCATGAGTCTCATGTGCAAGATCGCAGCAATTGCCAAACGACACCACACGGGTGGCACCATGATCGATTGGGATAGTGTGATCCGCGAGGCGACTCGCGCAGGCTCTCCCTTTCCTGGGGAGATCGGTGGCTCAGTCAAATATGTGAAGGAGTTGTCTGGCGGCCTCGGCAACCCGATCTTTCTGAGCGAGCTTCGCGATTTCTCGCGGCAGCTGACCTCCCAGTGCGTGGTCGCGGGTTCAATGGCGAAGTCTCTCGCCGAGGTGCAGATCAAGCATGAGGGGGCCGCTGCGACATTCAAGCTCGCATGCATGAAGGCGATGACATGTGCGACGGGTAAGTTCGCGAGGGATGGCCACCAGATGCTTTTGAAGCCAGGCGACGTGACCGCCTTGTCGAGCGATAAGAAGCCTACGATTGTAATGGTGGCTGATGAATTTCTTCAGAAAGTGCGACAGATCGCATGCGGTGAGGGCATCACGGCAGACACGGTCGCCTACGGCGCCATCGTGGGATTGACTGACGCTCGCGTAGTTCATTTCGTGTTCAACAA